TATATCTAATCTATAGATATTGTTGACATCTGTCCCTGATTGACCCTGGTATCCACTTTTGGATGTGGGCATTACTATACACCGGTGTGCAAACTTCAATTAATGCCAGCGGCTCATTCACAAAAATGATCGCATGCAGGCCAAACAAAAATCCATGTCTTATCTTGCCTCTGTCTTAACCTGGCTGATCAGCTCTGGTGGCGATGGCTGCATATTCACTTTCCTTTCATCTATTGCTTAGAAATGTGTCCTCTTTATTCAACCATCCCTTGAGATGACAAAACTTAAATCCCAAGATTGCTTTCTCAACATGAGTCAAAGTGCACAGGTACTAAGTTTTAAACTCTGTTTTACAGCATGCATTTTGCATTGTTCTGCCTTGGGCTTCCCACTGCCTTTTTATATTCATATATATTTTATATTCAAATTTCTGCTTGCAAGCTTGAACCTTGTTCAGCATTAAAGAGAATTGCTGCTTTAATAGCCTGCTGTGGTATGTATTATTTGAGCCTGGTTTATCTTTTTTAGGACATTTTTGAATCATAGGCAGAATGCATGGAAGAATGTAGACAAAGTATAAATTGAATATACTTACAGCTATAGAGTTGACAAGAGCGGCTATTCCCAGGGGCAGGCAGCAGCAGAGCATGATGAAGATGGAGTAACCCATGTAATCACTAACAGGGTATAATTGAGAATATGTTGCAGGCTGAATGGTTACAATGGCTGGCTGGCATTGTTGCCCCCGGCCCAGAGGGTAAGGCTGTTGGTTTTGCTGCTGGCCAAATCTTGAACCACCCATCTGTTGTGAATATCCGTAACCCTGAAGAAAACCAACATGAAAGTCCTTCTTAAACTTAAAGTGATTTTCTGAAATAAAGTAAGAAGTAAAAAAAGGCAACAATCTTAGAGCTTTAAAGCACAAGTTTCATTTCATATTAGTTATTTTTATTTATTCATGTATATTTATTGTATATGTTAAATTTAACAGATCATAATGGTTTGCATTTTGGTTTAAACTTTAAAATGTATTTGGGGCATTGATATACTGTATATATATATATATATATATACCTGGATTTATCTTAATAGGCACACACATAAATACATACTTTAATTTAACAATGATCTTACTTACTTTTGTCTTATATCAGAATAAAAGGCAAATACGGTGGATGCTGATATTTACCTGTGGCTGTGCTGAGTATGGGGGGGCTGGGGGGTATCCGCCCTGGTTAGCTGATGATGAAAAAAGGACGGTGGAGTTGTTATCACGGCTCCATTTTATTTCAGGTCTCATTCCCCTGTTGTTGTCCATAATGTAGCTGTGAAGACTTTAAGCACCTGCTCCCTCCTATTTCTTTACAACAGCTCTACTGGGCTGTGAGTGCTGAAGAGAGGCATCAAAAATGATCTTTATATCCATGTTTATGGTGGTGTTATGTAACAGAAATGAAACTGTTCCTGTTGTGAATTTCAGACAGATGAAATAGGAGAATCTATGAATTTCAGATTATGAAAGGTTATGTTTCAATCCCCAGTAGCAGCTTTGTCATTTCTTACAAACTTCAATCCAGCAAAAATGAAATGATGTGATATGCTTCACCTTTGAACGCAGCTTTATTTAGAAAGTTAAACAATTGAGATTTGATCAGAAGTTCATGCAGAAGCGTGTGTTGTGGTAACATTTGGACCACTGAAAACCTAAAAACCTGAAAAATTTTATTATCTACAGTTATTATGCTTTGTTTCAAATTTGTTCTGGAATTGCATGTTGTTTGTTAATGTCAATAATGTGTTATAACAAGGGATTTTTGTTTAGATTCTTATTTTAGTATCAGTACTGTATATTGTTTAGATCCTTTTGTGTTTATTTCAATCTCTCCCCAGTTGCTTAGTTTAGTAACATTTGAACAGCATTAATCTCATTAATTTCTTGCTTCACCGTTCCATTCTTCTGTTTCTCTTGTTCCATTTTCTCATCTTCTTCGAGTCCACTCTGTCATGGTTTTATTTTGCCTTCTGACCTACATGAGACGCTCAGGAGATGTTGAGGCTCAAATCGGTAAGGAAATGTAAGCTATTTTGGAAGTGCATGGTCGCCATAATACGTGCTATCCGAATAGTGCTGGTAGTTAGGAAGGAGCTAGGACCAAGAAGCAGTAGGCCTATGTCTTCTAGCATTAATAGAGATATTATAATTACCTCCTGATATCCATAGCCGTCGCTAGTAGCTATGCTGTTGCTCTAAAACCGTTGCATGACAGATTGTATAGGCATGGCCCACTTCACAGAGTTCAATCAAAATACATTATTTTCTGACATGTACTGTGTGTGAAACATGGAAATGTCCTAATCTTCTTTTTTTTTTTTTTGGGAGTTTTTTTAACTGAACGCTTCAACTCCTCGCTACTTTTGTGTAGCTTTGTTTTTATAGTTCCTTTTCAGAAAGATGCTGTCCCAGTTTGACCAGCATCATTCATGTGTGTCCATAACTTAATGGCATATGTTATGCAAAAGACTGTCGGAATTTAGCACTGCAGTCTAGATAACTAGGCTGAATCCAAAACCAGCCACTAAACACTAATAACTCTAAGCACTAAACCATGCATAGGGTCTGACACATTAGGGGCCATCCCAAACCACATAGTGGGTAGGGCGAGTGGACCAATCAGCCATTAAATATTGAGTCTGCATCATTGCAGGCTCCCTGGAATTTGGCAGCAGGTGTAACGCCGAACAAGTGGCGAATGAAACACGTGCATTTATATGTAAATTCTTCTGGATTAGCTGCATCTGACAGAAAATCCCAAGTTAGGAAAAATACATAATTAATCCTTAAATTGAAGGTACTCTTTGAAAAAGTTTTGTTTGACTAGTTAGATTTATTTTAAGAAAATGGCTACATAGCTATAGCCACTGACATGAGGTGTTGCCGTAGGAACGACTGCTTATCCTTTCAGCTTCAGGGAAGAGGCCGTCCCATTCACCTTTATAGCCCCCACGTAAAATCTAGGCGCCTTCCACAGCTGTGAGTAAGACTTTATTGTAAGTGACACTTGATAGTTAAGGGTTAGTTCTTGCTCTTTAAAAAAAGGTAAAAGGTGAAAGAATAGGAGGTAGGAACAGGAGCTAGAATTTGAGGTATTTTGATTGAGCCTTGGGAACAGTTAAAGAGTTTAATGTAATATCTGTAATGTACAACGATCAAACAGGTCAGGGTGGAAGTAGGGAACAGCAAGCTCAAATCAGTCTGCTTAACACAGAATAAATATTTTTCCCCTGTCTAATGGCTGCTGCTAACAAGGCCTCTTTATGTATGAGTTTTGGGGTAAAACTTAGATAATGTGGGCATTTCTACTTGATGATCCACATACCCCACAGGGTACCTCATCCCCAAAGTATATGGTTTATGTCTAAAGAATAGAATATTTCAGATACACAACAAGTTATGTTCGTAACATAATGACATGGAGGATTTTCATATGCATTGGACTGAACCGAGGTACCTGAATGCTGCCAGGTGGAATTTTATATTATTAGACTTTTTTCTACATTGTTTCTTCATCAATGTGATGAAGGCAAATGGGACCTTTCATCACTGACAGTAAACTTTAGTTAAACTGATGTCTTGAGTCATATGGAAAGACTTACCTGAGTAACAACTCCAGAATAACCGGAGTTGTTGAGTGACATAGTCAAAGTACTCAAGTTATTGTACTTTAAGCTGTTTTTTGGTATCTATACTTCACTTGAGTATTTCTTTTTCAGAGGCCTTGTTGCTTTTACCCAATATGTTTGAATACAAATGTACTTTCTACTCAATAATTCCTTAAAACTGTCTGGTTATTTCTATAGTGTATGTATTGATAACATTGATGATATAACAGATGCAACAAAACAGAGGAGTAACTCATAGGGTGAAAAGAATTTGCACAGTTAAACAGTTTGCAGAAGAAAAAAGATAAATAGTAATATGGCTGAAGACAGAGGACTTGGAAACATGTCAGATGATGGATCAGATTCTAAGACAAGACATTCCTTCACTTCCTCCTTTAATATTCTAAATTTATTTTTATTTAGTTATTCTTGAATTGTTTAAATTTCAATATTCAAAATATCCTCTCTACTAACAGTGAGCAATTGGTTTCATTTACAAACAAACAATTTTTTAAAAAATGTAATTCTACTTCATACTTAAGTACTTTATTAGGTAAAGAATGTGGTTACTTTTGACACATCTGAGAATAACCTCTGAAACCCCCCCCCCCCCCCCCCCCCCAAAAAAACAATGA